GCCCAAGCAGGCGGCTCAGAAGGACATCAGCGCCAGGGAACGCTTTAAAAACCTGGACCGCAGAGCTTCAGAGACCAAGGGCAGTGACAAGGAGCTCAGCAGCCTGCACAAGAACAGCATCAGGTCTGTACTCTTACAGTTAAAGGGCCCATACTGTGCTATTGTCTGATCTGTGTTATAATTTATATAACTTTATTTACAGACTCAGGGTCCAAAGCGTACACAGAAGGACACACACCCACAATCATATATAAACCCACCCGTCCACACAACACACACACACATTCACATTAAAAAAACCTACAGTGACATAAGGTCCGGTAGAATTAAAATACATACAGCTGGTTCTTGCAGCATTTCCAGATGTCAGAGTAATATTGGGTGTCACTTTCCTTAATATCAGTCAAGCTTGATATAATTCCATTTCTTGATTCATTTAACCTACACATAAATTTATACTTGAGGTTCCTCATTAGAGCCTGGAACGTGGGAATATTTGCTGTAACAAACAAAGCACAGGCACTTTCCCACCTTGGAGTCTTTAGCAGTATTCTGAGAGCATCATTATATGCCACCTTAATCTTATTCATCTTTGCTTTGCTGTAATTACACCGTAGCTGAGCTGTATATATTAGGGTACAGTATGATCTAAAAAGGGTCATTTTGATATCATTAGTACGGTATGGAATTTGCGTGCCAGCATATTCACTTCTGAATATAGTTTGCAGCTCTGACGCTGGATGTCATCATCACAGGAGTCATTTCTAATAATATGGCCCAAGTATTTTGCTTTTGTTACATTAATCAGCTGATTCTCATTTAAATAAAAAGAGGGGAAGCTTACCTTTTGATCTTACTTAATCTGGGAATCATGACAACACACTTTATACTCAATTTTATTTTAAATCATACTCCATCCCATACTCTGAACAGTCAATATGGTTGTTTCCTCATCACAAACATATCTGGAGTTGTGTTTTGTTTCATTCTCACATATGTAATACAAACACTGTATATTTAGACTGAATTCTTCTCTCAAACACTTGTGATGTCATGTGGTAATACAGGAAGTGCTCCAGTGGGGTTTGAAATGTCATACGTACAACTTCAGTAGAACCATTTGAATGATTTCAGCCCTGGAAATGCTATACTCTCTAATGAACTAAAGGTATAAAGTAACTGTTAATTTACTCAAACGTGTGAATGAAACAAAACACAATTGCGGGTTTATGATGAGGTAACATTATAATATGACTTAAGGCTCACGCTACACTCCAGCTCATACCTGGAGTTGAGTTTTGTTACATTCACACTTTTGAGTAATCTTTTTGTAGACTGTCTGCATCTCCAAAGCTCAAAATGCTCTGTTCCACCTTGTAATGTTATGACGCGGTAGTTTTCAGGGTAACTGCTGCCTTTTACCTTTCGTTCAGTAGAGAACTGAAATTACCCAAATGATTCTAGTGAAGGTATATGAAGTGAAAACGCACTTCCTGTACTACTACATATTTAGAGTACCACATGTACTCTAAATATGCAGAATGAAGCAAAACACAACTCCAGGTCTGTTTGTGATGAGGAAACAACATATAACATATAATAGATCAGAAAATAGAGTAATATGAGCTCTTTAAATATTCCTCTAGATCTAATTTAGTTTACCTCAATTATTTTGCAATTTTGAACTTTATTTGTGTATATTCTAGTGAAATCTCGGTGCTGGATGGAGGGAGGGCCCAGTGTACCAGGTTCTGCACCACAGGCATGGACGGGGGCATGGCCATCTGGGACGTCAAGGTATGTCTCTGAATTACTCGCATACCAGAGTCTATCAACCAACATATCTGAGTTGAATGCGCCTGTTCGTTTTCTTTTTTTTTTTTTTTTCACAACAATATAAAACCAAATGGCTACCCAAACTAATGTATTTGGGGCCAGCTATAAAATGTTTTATGAAGCGTTGTCACGATACTGAAATTTCAAACTCGATTTTGATATTAAGGAATACACTCGATAATCAATACTGATTCCGATACCAATTATAAAATTACAATAAAAACACTTGTTATTACCTCCGCCAAGGAGGTTATGTTTTTGCCGGCGTTTGTCTGTTTGTTTGTTTTGTTTGTTTGTTTGTCTTTTAGCAACATAACTCAAAAAGTATGGACCGATTTTGATGAAATTTTCAGGATTTGTTGGAAATGTGAAAAGGAAGAACTGATTTCATTTTGGGGGTGATCCGGAAGAAATCCTGGATTCTGGATCACTTTGAAATTTTAGTTAACATTGTGGTAAATGGGGCCAAAAATTTTGTTTCTCAATATCTCGGTTAATTATTGACCAAACCCCATGAAATTTGACTCAGGGATGGACAATGGGATCCTCTTTCATATTCCAAATTGAAAGATACGAGACAAATATTTATGGAAAACACAATTAATATGAGGGGGACTGTAGTCCTTGGCGGAGGTCTGCGCTCTCTGAGTGCTTTTCTAGTTTAGGCAATAAAATCTGATATTCAGCATTAAATTGTAATACTTTATTATGCAGTATAATATCTGTAATCCCTCAGTGGTCCAAGGGCGTATACTAGTCTATGTGCTCTTATACTTACCCTGCGTTCGATTATCTTCCAACTCCCACTTGTACCTCAGATTTGATGTCATGTCCTGCCCCTTTAATTCTTGAAATTTGCACTTCATTTTATGTTATGATTTCTCTTCTGTTACAACCTAAGGCACATTAACGCCCGATAAAACAAGTATTTGTTCAATATTGGCCTCACCACAAAACCGACTACCAAACTCAGGCAGTGATACAGACGTGGTAAGGTATTGCACTAATACGAATGACTGAAATTGTCATTTAAACCTCCAAAGTGTTAGCCAGGCTGGCGCCACAAAGTGCCTCCGCTAAATTTCATTTCTCTCCAGCGACTAGGTCAGGAATCAAAATACACTAGACGGTTCACAAAAACCCCGGAAGTGCAAGTTCGGGCATCAGCCAATCAGTGAAGAGACATACATTCAATGTTGTCCATGATTCGATCGAGGATTAAAGCCAGAATAAAGAGAATGTTTAGTGAATTTCATCAAGAGGAAAGACGTTATTGTCCTTATTCCTACGGGATTTGGGAAAAGGTTAATACACCAGTTAGCCCCATTAGCGGCGCATTACATACGTCATGACCAAATAGCAGTGATTGGTTAAATGATAAAAAGTACCCGTCTACTGTCGAGCGAACAAATCCTAATGCGGTGAGGTCAGATGGTTTTTACAAAGTGAAACCAGCTGATGAATCAGACTACCAAAGTGTCCAAATACAATGAAAACACTTCATATTTACACGTCACTATGGGTGCAGCCATCTTGGATTCTGACTCGAAATCCTTGCTTTGTTTACTTTTTCCGCCACCAAGGTCCGAGTCGCACCATCCCAGGTAAAGGGGTGTGTCAAGCATGTCGCTTGGCAGCTTCCTCGGAAAACCGATTCAGAAGAATAATCAAATGCAGTGTTATTCTGAAACAGCTCAAGATCACTCTAAAGCGATTCAGGAAAGGTTAATTTCTGTCCTGTGAATGTGACTTTTTAGAATCGGTACCTGCTCAAATTAGTATCTAATTTTAATACTAGTTGTGTATTGTTTAGTATCTAATTTTTGATACTTTTGACAACTCTAGTTTGTAAATCCTTATACCGGTACTGTTAACACAATAATTAGGCCACAGCAAGACCACTTTGTAGTATGGACCTACCTGAATGACTGGGGGATAACACAGATATAAAGCCACATGGGAATATAAACAGGGTAGCCGCGGGGTCTTAAAAGTCTTAAAAAGGTCCTTAATTTCATGTTCCCAAATTAAGGCCTTAAAAAGTCTTAAATTATGTTGTCCAAGTCTTATTTTTTTCACAAAGGTCTTAAATTTCATTACCTTATTTTTTTGTTTACTCAACCGGGCTGCAGTGCAATTTTAAACAGAGGGAGGAAAAAAAACAAACAACCCTAACCCCTAACGTAAATGAACGTCTAATTCGGAGTATGCGCAAACAATACTTAGTTTGTCTTGTTAGAATGTTATAAATGATTTGATGATTTTGGGCCATTTTACAAGCAATGCATACTACTATAAAGTTCTGAATGAGATTTTATCAGAAAAGTATTATTAGAATTGGATCTGGTGTTTTTCACTCGCATTATGGGTGTGATTTTGGACTTAATTTTCATTTAAGTGGTCTGAAAAAGGTCTTTAAAAAGTCTTACATTTTGGGTAGTCAAACCTGGAGGTACCCTGATAAAATATATAAGAAATATAAAAGATATATATAAAAGAAGATTTAATGTTGAAATCTATTCCTTAATATTGAAACTGAGTTTGAAATTTGAGTATCGTGACAACACTAACACATACATACTTGTTCTAATCCTCTTTTTCCTCCTCTAGACTCTGGAGAATTCCATGAAGAACTTGAAGATTGTCTGAGAGTTGCCTCAGAGCCTCAGACATAAATGTATGCTGCCATATTATGCTTTTAGCTGAAAAATGAATGGATATTTTAAAATACGCAGACCTCAGTGCGTAGAGTCAAACTGAAGGAGCGAGCTCAGGTCTGGACATGGTACTAAAACCCTTTTGTATGTTAATGCTTATGCTGGTCATAAACAGTCTTTGAATAAACAATGCTGTTACACAACATTTTGTATCATTTCAAGTAGCACTACTCAATTATGGTTACTTTTACTGTTTATTAATATTTCATGAATTTAATGTAGCAGAGTTGATTTCTATTTAACCACTCACTTATGGAAGATAATTTATTTCATCAGATTTTGAATTTCTCACTTTGAATTGTTTAACTTTGAAAAAACATGTTTGAATTATTTTTATTGTGAAGGTCATTTGATGAAATTATGTGTACATTTTCAAAGGGTTAAAAATTCAATATAAAATAAAATAACCTTTTAAATATTCAGCACAAATATTTTCAAGCCCTCAAACTCAACCGTGTAAAATTCACATTCAAAAATATCTGCGCTGAATATTTAAAGGTGAAATTTTTATTTAGAATTTAAAACATTAAAAAATTATACTTAAAAATTTTACTAAAATTCTGAATAAAAATACAGCAACTCAAACATCTTTTTTCAGAGTTAAAAAATTTAGTGAGAATTTCAGTGATATATAAAATTCAAAATCTAATGAAACAAATTATCTTTCATACTCACTCAAATACCATTTTTGGAGATTCTGAGACAGCAATTTGTAAACTCCTATAATGTTGTTTTGCTGTATTCTTTGATCCAATTTTCATTATTATGGAACACTGTGTGGCTACAGCAACACTTTTTACTCACAAAATTCCATCCGAGGCTTGAGTTTTGGACGTTGTGGGAAAACTGTTGAAACAAAAGACCCTAAACTGGTAATGGCTCGAGTGAATACGAATGAAAAATATGAGTAAGAAAGGTAAACTAGTCACAGTGGATGGGTACGTACAGTTCCTTTAAGTTATTGCTTTGACAGATTTAGTGTCCGAGGGCTCATTTACATTGCTTTGAAAGTTTATTTGTACTTCTAGAATCCCTTTCTTTATTAGATTTCACGAACAAAGGGGCAGTTTTACTAAATAATGGAGCAACAACCATACATTTACATTCCGACTGTCTGGAGCAAATTATCTAGTATGTACAATGCATATACAAGTATATACTTTAATATACATATATATACACATTAATATTTGGTCCCTTTACAATGATAAGGAAACATCTTAAAATGATGAGGTAGTATCTGATATTTTGTCTAAAGTGATCACATTTATTTTTTCATCTGTTCTTCCTGAATATCATGACTTTGTAGGATTTGGTAATTTTTTTTTAGGTTGATATGAGCAAAAACACATTTCCCAATTACATTGTGCCTTATGAGTGGTGGTTTAAACCTCAATAACTCAGAAGAACTTTCCAGATGAACCCAGACAGAACCTTATCGTTGTACAAAAAAGTTAGCGCCTCCTGGAGATGAAAATCACTTCGAACACTGTACAAGAGCACCTTTTGTACGTTCATTTTACTGAATAACCAGACTCAACAAACCACCCACACTTCACATGTCATAAAACTTCAGAATGTTTTCATATGGTGAGTCATGGGTGCGCCAGGGGAGTGCTCTGGTAGTTGAGCAGATAACAGGCCACATGAAACAACTCCTGGATGCTCCCACACACAGGGGCAGGGGCGGTCCTGTCAAATAGCTTGTAGTCTGTGATTCTCCTGAGGCACCGCTCCACATGGTTCCTGAGCCGGACCATAGCCTGGATCTGCTCTACACTTTGTTTGCTCTGGTTCTGGGTGTGTTCTGGGAGGCAGACAGGCCGGTGCACTCTGCAGCGAGACACGTCCTCTATCAGCAAACCCCTGACCACCATAACAGCCATGTGGGGCTGAAGCACACTAGTGATGCCTGACTGTCTGAACACCTCACAGTCACTCAGGATCCCGGCGAAAAGGGGGGAGACAAATGTTACTGCTCCATGAGGGGCCATGCCCACCAGGGCCTTGTATGTGGAGAACTGCTCAGTGTGCCCCAGAGTAGCTGAAGGCCTTTGACAGTAGATCTCTACACAGTCTAGCACCACCTGAGTGTCAGAGAAAGCCTCAAACTCAGGCGGAAGGAGAGTCATCACAAGCTCACCCGACAACCACAGACATGTGCCCCCCAGCAGCTGGGATAGGAAGTGGCCCCAGGTACTAATAACCCTGCTCACCGCTGGAGCATCAAGACCAAACCTGACAGCAAGATCTTCAGGAGGAAAGCCCACTGACAAGTGCATGAGAAACAGGAGCAGCTCATCAATAAAAGGAAGCTTCTGCAAAAGACACATCAAATTAAAAAGTAAAAAAAAAACAAAAAAAGAACATGTGAATATTTAATCTGAGAGCAAAATACTGTGGTGTGAAGAGAGCTGTCGGAGCCTGCCGCTGCACAGGCGTCAGAGCTGGTCATGTAGGTCTTCACTGCAGGCTCAATCAGTCTCCAAAAGTGTTGGAAATGTTGGTACGAGGTAAATCTGGGAATATGATATTAAGAAAACAAGGCACAGTTTTACTACAAAAACAAAGAATTTACCCAAGAATTCAACCGAAACAGCTAATAACCAAGAATCCATTGTGTTGTGGCAATATTACATAGATGACCTGTGTGGATATGTTGAACTGTGGAGACAAGCCAGCAGAGAGAACTTGGTCTGCAGTTAAAGGTGCAGCACCTAATTTTTACCGTTTTAAAAACATGAAAAACAGAACTAGTTCATTTCAAACAGTTTGCAGTGGTCCTAAGTTATTCCTCACTTACCTTATGCATTTTTGTTACCAGTAGATGGAAGATGTGTAGTTATAAATATTAATACCTGCCCAATGATAATGATTCATGACAGAGCTGAGTGTGCTTGAACTCCTCAAATCCATTTTCTGAATACAGAGTCTGCCAACTGGAAACTTGGGGAAACCGCCCTGTGGTTCTCTGGTCTCTCTCTGGTCTTTTTCTGGAACACTATCAGAGTCTACATGTATGACCTGGGGTCTAAATTGGAATTGGAGTAATCACCAGTAAGCAAAGAGCAGTGGGCGGAAATAGGGGTTAGGTGACAACAGACATTTGTGAATAGGTTTGAAGCTCAGAAAAGTCCCTTTGCCATAATATGCAGCCTTTAACATGTGAGTGTACCTGGTGTAATGGTGCACATGGTCATCTGAACATGCATAGCGCTCCAAACCAACCCCGCTGCCCAGCAGCCCCCAGTCAGCTTGGCTCTGGAGGACCGGCTCTCCTCCCTGCAGGACCCCTCTGGGCTGGGCCTCCCTGTTCTCTGTCCCATGTGTCACACAGTAGTCATGGTCTCTGTCCCTCTCATGATCTGTAGCAGCTGAGTGCAGGGAGTAGTTGTTCCAGTGGAAGAGTTTGGGCACAGACCCAGTCTTTAGTCTTCTGAGGCTCTTAGGGCTCTTTTGCACTAGATCCCACGGTAAGAAATGTCTGCTGCACACACGGGTCCCTGCGGTAGGAGTAAAGTCTCTCCGGATGTTCACTAGCCACAGTTCACGCAATGGATTGCCCAGTTTTGGGAAAGAATGAAAACTAATGAGACGATTGTAGCGAGAGGAGAAGGTACACAGAGGCACACAGCAATGCAGAGTTGATGGTCCCACTCGCTGAAAACTGAGCCTCCTCTTTGTATTTTTAAGCAAACTCATGTTTGCTCTCCTCTGTTTGTCTGGAGCAAGCTAGCACAACTCATGTCATTGTACACGGAAGTAACCACGCTTACTCCTACCCACCGGAAGTCAGCAGATGACTTAACCACATCCGTGCTGATCAAAACTGCGCGCCGCGGTGAACACGAGAGAACACGATGAACATGACGGAGGCGGAGCTGCCCAGGACCGTGCGCTCCCGATGCCACAGGAGAACAGGTGCATAACTTTACAGTGACACTGGTTTTATTCAGAGAAATGCACATTAACATTTACAATCTCATGTGCAGAGGCGGTGTCTACGGAGCAGCCAGAAAGTCTACGTGCAGATACGGCTCAGTGCAACTGTATGTAAACGTCATTTTACACTCAAAAGATTTTCCAAAATATTTTTTTTTTATCAATTTGGCTTCCATTTGTTTTGCAGTGAACAATTCTACGATTTCCAAAGAATGTGTCCTGTCTGTGAACTTTTTTATTTTATTAATCTCCATTTGGCAATGAACACCAATGTATTTTATATTCCAGCCTCGCTCACATCTGAGCACGTGTAATAAATCCTCCTGCATGTACCTCTTCTGTCCTGTAGAGGTCAGACAAGAGTCACACCAGTGTTCTATGTTCACAGCATGGATCTATCCTAGTGGATCTATTAGGTTCACAGTGTGGGTAAAGGACTCTGTTTTGTTACTTAACGGTGCATTGGACAAAAATTTGAGTATCGAATATATTGGTATAACTGTAAAATATGCAAGTGCTGTTTAAAAATATGAATGATTCAAACAATGGTATGCAGGATACTTTCGGGGGTTTTTTTTGGGGGTTTTTTTTTGTAAATGTATTGTTTATTTGCAGCAATTTAGTAACCAGAACTTGCAGTAACCTCATTTTGGTCATTATTATTCCCCCCTACTTCTTGTCTGCTTTCACTACTGACTAACAACCCTCTGAAACTCTCTGAAAGCAGACCAGGCAGAAGCTACAAAATACTCTTGTCCGGTGGTGGGAAAAGTACTGCAAATGTGTACTCAAGTAAAAGTACAGTTACATAGCTAAAATGTATTCCATTACAAGTGCAAATACTGCTGCCAAAACTGTACTTAAAGGTCCTATAGTACGAAAAATAGATTCTTGTAAGCTTTGAGCCATGTTCTAATGCTATTACATCATCCAAAACATACCTGGTGTTCTGTTTTGTTTCATTCAAACATATTTGTGTAATCCTTAATTACAGATGTGGAACAGTTGTATATCCAGAATATATTTATTCACTGTGGTGTTTTACTGTGAGATGACCGGCTCTGTGAGACCGTGAAGGAGGAACATCAGAAAGGTAAAAGGAAAAAGGTGGTGTAAGAAGTACTCCATTTTGTTAAGTAAAAGTAAATCCACTTAAATGGAAGTACAGATACATGAGAGCAAAAAATTACTCAAGTAAAAGTTAAATTTTCACATGCAAAATATAGGAGCAGAAGTTACAGATAACTGCTTTCAAGTGTAGTACAGTAAAAGTATCCACTGTAAAATGTTAGCCAGGCTGGCGCCACCTAGTGCCTCCGCTAAATTTCATTTCTCTCCAGTGACTATGTCAGGAATCAAAATACACTAGACGGTTTGCAAAAACCCCGGAAATGCGAGTTCAGGCACCAGCCAGTCAGTGAAGAGCCATACATTCAGTGTTGTCAACGATTCCTGAGATCGAGGATTTAAAGCCGAAACAAAGAGAATGTTTGGTGAATTTTATCAAGGGGAAAGACATTATTGCCCTTCTTCCTATGGGGTTTGGGAAAAGCTTAATATACCAGTTAGCCCCATTAGCAGCACATTACATACGTCATGACCAAATAGCAGCAACTGGTTAAATAAAAAAAGTACCTGCCTATTGTCGAGCAAACGAATCCTAATACTGTGAGGTCAGAAGGTTCTTACAAAGTGAAACCAGCTGATGAATCAGGCTAGTTAAATGTTCAGATAGATAAATAAATTGACTTAAGTACAGTTCGTTCACTTATGTATTTTCCACCGCTTTAAAAACATTCTTCATTTCTACTGAACTGACATATTCTGCTTCTTATATGTACAAATTAATAGGCTATTTCATACTCTGTTGTAATGCATAGGCTATTGAAGCATCACTAGTAAATAACTATTTCACATTCCGTCAGCACGAATCCAAAACTATAGAGTCTTTGCAATTTGCTAATTGCATCGACTCAAATTGCAAATTTGAATTATCTTGCAGGTGAACAAATACAGAATGAAAAGAACACAGTCAAGCACAAAAATGAGCAATCCTATGACTCTCTACAAGTATTAAAAGTGAGGACCAACTGTTTCAGCCCCATTCAAGCAAAATTACAAATACCAAAAAGAAAAACAACTGCCTGAACCCTTGGAACCCAACACCAATCAAACTATGGAGAATTCATCTTAAAACAAGAAGACTCAGACTATAAAGGGTAGTTTTGTGATCAAAACTGAAAGAAATGTCATCATATTAGCTTCAATACAAAAACCAGGACTCTGTGGTAAATGGACAAATCTGATGTGTCCAAGCTAAAACTAAACCATGTGAATGTACACAGTGCGGTAAAGGAGACACGCGGTAACTCATTCAGAAAAGGGACCATTCAGTTGTTCAGTCTGCAGCAAAATATTTAAACGAAAAGCCCACATGACTTCTCATCAGAGCCTGCACACGGGAGAGGATCCCTTCAGCTGTTCAATTTGTAAGAAAACCTTTGCGCGTCAAAACCATTCTGACCAAACACACAAAAGAGGCCCATCCCAAGGCAGGACCATTAAGCCATCCACAGTTTGCAAGGAGAAGTTTAAAGACCAGAAAACTCTCAAAACACATGATCAAAGTCACAGAGATGGGAGGCTCTTCAGCTGTTCAATTTGTGACAAGGACTTCTCCAGGAAAGACCATCTCTGTTTACACATGAAGGTCCACAGCAGGCCAGAGTCTTTCTGTCTATTCTGCAACATCTGTATCATCCACAAGTATATTCTACAGAGGCACGTAACAGAAGAACATTCTGCCGTATAGTTTAGAAACTACTACTCGCTTGTCTCCATGGAGATATATGTTTAATGTAATGATGTAGAAGATTGCAGGAAAGCAATAATATCTCTATGGAGAATCCGTGTATCATTCGTTCATTCGTTTTTCAATATAAAACCAAAAATAAGAAAATGAAAAAAACAACAGTTTTTTTCATTATTTGTCTCCAAAACCAAAATGAAACAACAGATAATGATTCATTTTTTTAGTTTTCTATTTTGTGTTTAAATGAATAATGGAAAAAAGGGATAGAGGCCATTTTCCATTTCCGTGACTTAAACTGTGATGCCGGACTTTTGCGCTCCGTACGGACTGGACCAGGACTAAACTGTTTTCAGTTCTGGTCGCTCTCCATCGGAAAAGTTAGGTGGCGTGCCTTTAAATGAGGGTATACTTTTTTGGAATAAAAAGATTTATTTTTTCTAAGTTCAGATATTATATTGTTTATTGTCAATGTGTTTTTCAAGTGTCTTTTTCCTTACTCACCATGATGGGTATCAAAAATTGACCTACTGAATAAAATAAAATAATTGTAAAACAATAGACCAGACTCACGATAAGAAACGCTACTTCTGGCTGAAAAAAATGTTCTTAGGCTCCTTGTTTCTGGTTTGCATGGCACGACTCTTTAAACTTGGAGAAAGGTGCTCAATGTCCATCAGATCGCCAATGCAAGTCTCAAAAAAGGAGGAAACAAGAGGTGACCTGCATTTTTCTAAATGCCTGGGACATCAGTGTTTCCCAATCTGTGAACACAGAATGAAAACTGAGCACCACAAATTGATTCCACGAGATTTTGTCATTCCTGCTCACACGGAGAGAGTGTGAGAGCGAGAGAATGAGAGAGAGATCAGTGGGGGTACACTTATAAAACACTTGCACTATTTGCTCTCTCTGCCTGCGACTTCAGGGATGGAGTCACCCGACAGTGTACGTGGGCACACCTCCAGGCTCATAACAAAGCCCGGCGCGGTATGGGCGAGAACCCAAGGAGCTACCTTATGATAGTGCATTTGTGTTATTTTTCAGAAAACCACGTGAAATGAGGTGTTTTGATACGGCATGCAAGCTATGCACCAAATAGGCTAATGCTGGGTCATTATTCATCTATTTATTTTGTTTATACCAACAACAAAAAAAGTTAAACACAAGAACAAGTTCATATTGGTTGAGCTAGGTCTTGAGTTAAGTATTTGAAATGTATTCCTTCAATGTCAAAGAATCTAAAGTTCAGGTAAAAACTACACTTTAACATCAATTTTGGTAAGTAATTCTCAACATGAAACGTATACCCTAATAGAGGTCTTCCTCTAACATAATTTCTCTGAGCAAACTGTACTGGCACCTGCACAGAGAGTAGAAGCTGGTACACACAGGACACAGGTCAAACAATTCAAAAGCAAGCTTTGCAAATCTTAAATCCACCAGGTTTCACTCAAGTTTTGCACAACTGGTTTAGTACACAATGGCTGCAGTCCAAACTCTTGAGCCAGGTGCTGTGACTCTCACATATTATCATATTTACTACGATCCACTAAGGTGAAAGGACTCATCGCATACTCGTGGTCTTCAATCATGGGGATCAGAGCTTGAGAGTAGTCTGTGGCCTCATCTGTAGCTGATGTGGTCTGGAGAGGCCGAGGGTGGCCTTCCCAGACTCTGGGTCGTGGGGTCTTTAGCAAAAAAATTGTTCCTGTGGAATAGAGATGGAACTGCTGTCTTTTTAAGGTGCCGCCTGCCTGAGGCAGCTGTATAAATGTCTGCACTCGCAAAATGCCAACTGCAAACCCTGGAGGTGGCCCTGACGGTGAATTGCCTCCTTATTCTGGAGAGCCACTGGGCACGCAAATCAGGATCCTTGGGGAAACTGTGGAAACGTGACACTCGATTAAATCTGCCGTTCGCAGTACACAGCGGAACACTGCAGTATTCACTGCTTCCACCTTCAGCCTTTTGAAGAGTAAAATATTTTTTTCCTATAAATTTCTTTTTTTGTTTTTTGGAGTCCATCTTCAGAATGAATGAAATAACGCAACACAAAACAGCACCCAGACGCTAATAACGCAAGTTCTGGTGAAGTTCGGAAGTTAGCATTTTCTCGTGCACCTCTAGTCCCTCTTTTATATTCTTCCTTTGAGCACCACCTGGCGTCCACTTTGCGCTCTGCATCTCTCCCGCTCACCCCCATCCAGCCCCATCACACAAACAAAACCCTTCTATCCACGTTTCCCCGTGTCCCCAGCCTCTTTATTTATTTATTTATTTATTATTATTATTATTATTATTATTATTATTATTATTATTATTATTATTATTATTATTATTATTATTATTATTATTAATTGATTGATTTTTTTTTTATATTATTTAAAGCCGAAATAAACATTAACAAGATGATCATACATACAAAGAATTACAAGAACCTGAGGAAATGTCCTAATTCTTCTGTAATATTGAGTGTTTTGATAGATTTATTGTTAGATACTGTTTAGTGTATTTAGGATGTAAAAATAGGACTCTGGAATTGGAGCGTTTGTATTTATGGATGTAAAATCGTGTCCCCAGCGCCCCCCGTCCTCCGTCATCACCACGACAGCACCAACATCAGCGGCCCCCCCCCTCCTCCTGTTCTCTCCCTCCTCTCTTTCTCTCTCCCTCTCTTTCTCTCTCTTTCTACAGCCCGGAGAAAACACGGACGACATTTCGGTTCGGCGCTCGGCACGGTGGAGGTGGCGGAGGAGGAGGCGCGCTCGGTCGGATCTGCTCGCTGCTTGCACCCGCTCCATCCGCTCCATTCGCTCCATCCGAGAAGCTGTGGGAACGCCGAGATCCGAGGAACGAGAGGGGAAACCCGGCTACAAGCGCAGTCTAACCCCCGACTCCTGCGCTCATCTGTTGCTGACTGACACTAAATGAATCTTGTAAGGTAAGATGATTAAAAGCCAATTGTCTGCAGAAGAAAATGTGCAGAAATATTAACACCATCGCTTGCTACTGCTGTTCTTTTTGCTGTTAAAGATCAAATATTACGCACAATAGACTCTTGTGAGCTTTGGGACATGTTAGAAAGCTCTCTGCAACAAACATAGGCTATCTGAGTTGTGTTTTGTTTCATTTTTACAAGTTTGAGTTATTGTTTATCTGTGTACACCTCCAAAGCTCAAAATCCTCTGTTCCTCCTAGTGATGTCACAAAGTTGTAGTTTCTCAGCTACCACTTACCTTTTGTTTAGTAGAGATTGGAAATTCTGAAACGATCCAGTGATTCTAGTGAAGGTGTATGGAGTTTAAAAACACAGTGGAGCGCTTCCTGTATTACGACATGACATCACAAGTTGGAACAGAGTGTTTTCTGTTTGAGAGAAGAACTCAATGTGCATATTGGTGTGTTAAACATGTGCGAATGAAAGAAAACACAACTCCAGGCGGATTCGTGATGAGGAAACATAACAGATCAGAAAATAGCATAATATTGGCCGTTTATATATCGGTTAGGTTACAATAATGCCATCATAACATTTAGCAGTAGGAGCGTAACGATATCCAAGTCTCATGATACAATATCGTCACGGTATGAACCTCACGGTACAATATTTATTGTGATATCGTAGGAACGCTCACGATTAGGGATGTAACGATATCCAAATCTCTCCATACGATATTTTCACGATATCTCACGGTACGATATTTATTTAGATTTTTTGTGGAGGTTAACAAACTGTTAATATGCTTCTTTTTCCTCTTAAAATGCCTTGACAAGACTTAATCCAAAGAACTAAGACTTAAAGGCGTTCAGAACTGTGATTTCTTCTTGTCGTCTACACTGAAATGGAGCAAAGGATCATGGTCTATGTAGTTCCCTCTGGCTTTTGCTTATTGCTGCACCATAACTCTTCATTTAAGCAGAGAGATTTGTAATTCGATATATCGTGATGGTCCACGATATTATTGTGAGAACTTTGTCGATACGATATCATGATATTTTGGTTATTGTTACATCTCTATTTAGCATATTTATTAGGTTGTAAAAATGAAGGAAAATATGAAAATATATAGAACATCAATATATTTATATCTGGAACATGTATTTGCTTATTATAGGCACATAAAATAAGTAGATCTAGTAGGTTTATGGATATTCTACCTATGTTGTTTTAATTCAGGATATCCCCAGGTTTGATTACCCTCTCCGGGTGGGTGGAGAGTCCCTGCCTCAAGTGGAGGTGTTCAAGTATCTCGGGGTCTTGTTCACGAGTGAGGGGAGGACGGAACATGAGATTGACAGGCGGATTGGTGCAGCTTCGGCAGTGATGCGGTCGCTGTATTGGACCGTTGTGGTGAAGCGGGAGCTGAGCCGAAAGGCGAAGCTCTCGATTTACCGATCAGTCTTCGTTCCTACTCTCACCTATGGTCATGAGCTCTGGGTAGTGACCGAAAGGACGAGCTCGCGGATACAAGCGCTCGAAATTAGTTTCCTCCGCAGGGTGGCTGGGCGCTCCCTTAGAGATAAGGTGAGGAGCTCAGTCACACGGGAGGAGCTCGGAGTAGAGCCGCTGCTCCTCCACATTGAGAGGAGCCAGTTGAGGTGGCTCGGGCATCTGTTCCGGATGCCTCCTGGGCGCCTCCCTCGGGAGGTGTTCCGGGCATGTCCCACCGGGAGGAGGCCACGGGGAAGACCCAGGACACGCTGGAGGGACTATGTCTCTCGGCTGGCCTGGGAACACCTCGGGATTCCCCCGGAGGAGCTGGAGAACGTGTCTGGGGTGAGGGAGTCTGGGAGTCCCTGCTTAGGCTGCTGCCCCCGCGACCCGGCCTCGGATAAGCGGATGAAAATGGATGGATGGATGATTACCCCAAATTTTAGACTTTTTAAGACCGCTTGAATGAAAAGTAAGACCAACATCGCACCCATTATGTGGACGAAAAACACCAGATCCAGTTCTAATAATGACCATTACTCACTGCTTTAAATAACAAAAAATACTTTTACTATAAAATCTCATTCAGAACTCATTTATAGTTGTGCATTGCTTGCAGTGTTGAGAAGGTTACTTTTAGAATGTAATCCCCTACAGATTACATATTACACACCCCAAAATGTAATTTGTAACGTAATCCATTAAATTACTTAAAGTGAGTAACGTAATCTGATTACTTTGGATTACTTGATATTGTCATGTTTTTTTAAATGACATGAATGTAGCAACCACATCCTGAAAATTCTTGTTTGTTGTCTTCAAATTGTCTGAGGCCAAGTCTCCATGAATAAGCAACTGTTTGCTGTTGAGAAACAAAGACCACGATATCTTAATATAAGAGGTTTTGTCTGTTAAAAGACAGAAACAAGATCAGCTTTTCCTTCACCAGATTAAAAAATATTATTGATAGAGAAATTATATGAGATCACCTTAAATTATGTCAACCTACTGTTAGGTGTCATGTTGTTTAGACCTGGTTTAGTCCTGGTTTAGTCCTGGTTTAGTCCTGATTTTTAGACCTGGTCTAGACAAGGTCTTTAGTTCTGGTTTAGTCGTGGTTTAGTCCTAGTTTAAACCTGGTTCAGTCCTGCTTTAGTCCTGGTTTAGTCCTGGTGTTAGTCCTGGTTTAGTCCTGGTTTAGTCCTGGATTAGTTCTGGTTTAGTCCTGGTGTTAGTTCTGGTTTAGTCCTGGTGTTAGTTCTGGTTTAGAGGCGCACAGGAGGAAGTGCGGTTTACGCGAGAAAACACGGTCCACACGCGGCGCACGAGACGGCGGTGTCCGCGCAGTAACTACTGAAGGAGACGTGGTCCGCGGGTTCTCAGGTTGATGACGATGATGAAGGTGTGTGTGTGTTTGTGTTTGTGTGTGTTTGTGTTTGTGTGTGTTTGTGTGCACGTCCACTCATGTGGCAGGTCACTATAGGACAGTAGTGCAGATATTATGAGTCTATGCAGGTTGTTTTCACCAGTGCCAGTAGCTCCAGTTTCACATTTAAGTTGTAGGCGATTTTATATTTGTTTTTTTTATATATATCTCACATCGGGAGAAGAATTTCCAAGACACAAATGCGTTTTTACCAATGCACTGCTGCTTCCACTGTGTGACTGACACCGCCAACTTTAACATGACGTTTTACATCGCTCTTATTGTCGCGTGTTCTGTTTGGGCTTCAGGCAATGAGTGAAATTACCGAAATAAAAAAATAAATAAATGGGATGTAGCACAAAATGTGAAAACAGGAAAATACCGCCTTGTAATCCACTTATTTCAGCAAAGTAACTGTAATCCAATTACCACTCATTGAAACAGTAACTGTAACGGAATACAGTTACTCATAATTTGTACTCTGATTACGTAACGGCGGTACATGTAATCCGTTACTCCCCAATACTGATTGCTTGTATAATAGCCCAAATTTTTTTTATACCATTCTAACAAGACAAACTTTGTATTGTTTGTGCATACTCCAAGTTAGATGTTCATTCACATTACATGATTTAACGTTGTTGTTTTTTCTTCCTTCTGTTTAACATTGCAGTGCAGCCCGGTTGAGTTTACAAAAAAATAGGCTAATGAAATTTAAGACCTTTGTGAAAAAATAAGACTTGGACAACATAATTTAAGATTTTTTAAGGCCTTAATTTAAGAACATGAAATTTAAGACCTTTGTAAGACTTTTAAGACCCCACAGCTACTCTGTAATTCCACCAGTTTCAAAATATTTTAATTGTACTTTTGTTTTTCATAATAAAATGATGCCTATTTTGCAGAAGTGGGTAGAGTAGCCAGAAGTTATAGGCTATTCAAGTAAGACCAGCGTTACTGCCAAATAATATCACTCAAGTAGAATTACAAAGTAGTAGTGCAAGAAATTACTCAAGTAAGAGTAAAATGTATTTTGGAAAACTACTACACAAGTGAGTGAATTAAAGAGTAACTTTTGGGACGTAACATCTGATTTATAATTTCATTTTATTGTTACGTGAAAAAACATAATATAATGCACAAAATCTGGTGTTTTCACAAAATTGAGACAAACTAAATCAAATCTGAAGCAGTAGAAAAACAAGAAAAACAAATCAGTTCATATTGTCACATAAAACTTTTCTCACTTTAGACTCATGGAGGGAAGAGGAACCACAGCTTTTACTCAAGTACTTCTATAAAAACATTACTCAAGTAGGAGTAAAAGTATGCTGCTAGAAATGTACTCTCAAAAGTATAATTTATTTAAAAAGTTACTCAAATAAATGTAACTGAGCTAGTAGCCTATTAAAGATTCACTATGTAACTTTTCTGGTGGATGTCATTGTTTTGTCCGGCATGTTCCTCAGTGTATGTAAATTACAATCACAGGCTTTTGTCAGGACTAATCCAGGTCTAAACAAGGACTAAACCAGGACTAAACCAGGACTGAACCAGGACTAATCCAGGTCTAAACAAGGACTAAACCAGGACTAAACCAGGACTGAACCAGGACTAAACCAGGTCTAAACCAGGACTAAACCAGGACTAAACTAGGTCTAAACCAGGACTAAACTAGGACTAAACCAAAACTGAACCAGGACTAAACCAGGTCTAAACCAGGACTAAACCAGGACTGAACCAGAACTAAACTAGGTCTAAACCAGGACTGAATCGAGGACTAAACCAGGACTAAACTACGTCTAAACTGGGTCTAAACCAGGACTGAACTAGGACTAAACCAGAACTGAACCAGGACTAAGTCAGGTCTAAACAAGGACTAAACCAGGACTAAACCAGGTCTAAACAAGGACTAAACCAGGACTAAACCAGGTCTAAACCAGGACCAAACCAGGACTAATCTTGGACTAGAACTTGGAATCTAGGACCGCCCCTGAGAGTACCCAGAGTCCGTGCAGCGCGGAGTTCTGCGCCGGTCCTTTCGCTTGCGGTTAACTGATGGTCTACATGGGGGCCGTCTCCA